AGTGAAAATTGTTATATTAATATCAGGAGGTTAAATGCTACTTACAGTGAAAATTGTTATATTAATATCAGGAGGTTGAATGCTACTTACAGTGAAAATTGTTATATTAATATCAGGAGGTTGAATGTTACTTACAGTGAAAATTGTTGCAAATATTGCTCCCACCAACCAGTGTGTGACGTCATTCTCTCTGTTTGACTTTCTCGGATCATCAGCTGGCAGGTTCTTTAACTGTTTCTTCTTATCCTGCCACATGTACCTTCAGTGTAAGAAAAAGGGGGAAAGTATGTCGTTTAAGGTAGAGTACCAACCAGATAGAAACCTACATTGATAAAAACACCAAACATATACTGTATCCACAACACTCGTGACACTCAGTGACACGATTACCAACCAGATAGAAACCTACTTAAAACAACACCAAACATATACTGTACCCGCAACACTCGTGATACTCAGTGACACGAGTACCAGCCAGATAGAAACCTACTTAAAACAACACCAAACATATACTGTACCCACAACACTCGTGATACTCAGTGACACGAGTACCAGCCAGATAGAAACCTACTTAAAACAACACCAAACATATACTGTACCTACAACACTCGTGACACTCAGCAATACGAGTACCAACCAGATAAAAACCTACATAAAAATACACCAAACATATACTGTACCTACAACACTCGTGATACTCAGTGACACGAGTACCAACCAGATAGAAACCTACTTAAAACAACACCAAACATATACTGTACCTACAACACTCGTGACACTCAGCAATACGAGTACCAACCAGATAGAAACCTACTTAAAACAACACCAAACGTATAGTGTACCTACAACACTCGTGACACTCAGCAGTACGAGTACCAACCAGATAGAATCCTAGATAAAACAACACCAAACATATACTGTACCTACAACACTCGTGACACTCAGCAATACGAGTACCAACCAGATAGAAACCTAAATAAAACAACACCAAACATATACTGTACCTACAACACTCGTAACAGTCAGCAATATGAGTACCAACCAGATAGAAACCTTCATAAAAAACACCAAACACCAAACTGTGCCCACAATACTCGTGACACAATACGAGCACCAACTAGATGAGAAACCCACATTAATAAAAAACACTTACCAAACATATACTGTACCCACAACACTAGTGACACTCAGCGATACAAGTACCAACCAGATGAGAAAGCCGACGATGAACCGAAGAAGAATGATGAGGACGCAAGCTAGGCCTGAAATTAAGAATTATAATGAAACGTCAGCCCGCCTTTAATACCAGAAACCACAAAACAATAGTATATATATATAATAGAAGCAAATGAAAGACAGCTGCTGAAGTTATTGTTGTTAACACTTATTACACTTCTATTAAAGAAGAAATATTGATGATATAAGTATGAGTGTAAATATTACGTTGTCAGATAATATATTTTTCCTTTCGCAGGTTCAAAGCTCATTTTTATAATGGAAGAAGTCATTTCTGTTCAAACCACACTGCATGAAGTCGTTTCTGTTAAAACCACACTGCATGAAGTCGTTTCTGTTAAAACCACACTGTATTAAGTCATTTCTCTTAAAATCACACTGTATTAAGTCATTTCTGTTAAAACCACACTGTATTAAATCATTTCTGTTAAAACCACACTGCATGAAGTCAGTTCTGTTAAAACCACACTGCATGAAGTCAGTTCTGTTAAAACCACACTGCATGAAGTCAGTTCTGTTAAAACCACACCGCATGAAGTCGGTTCTGTTAAAACCACACTGTTTTAAGTCGGTTCTGTTACAACCACACTGCATGATGCCAGTTCTTTTAAAACCACACTGCATGAAGTCAGTTCTTTTAAAACCACACTGTATTAAGTCATTTCTGTTACAACCAAACTGTATGAAATCGGTTCTGTTAAAACCACACTGTATGAAATCGGTTCTGTTAAAACCACACTGTATTAAGTCGGTTCTGTTAAAACCACACTGTATTAAGTCAGTTCTTTTAAATACACACTGTATTAAGTCAGTTCTGTTAAAACCACACTGCATGAAGTCAGTTCCGTTAAAACCACACTGCATGAAGTCAGTTCTGTTAAAACCACACTGTATGAAGTCAGTTCTGTTAAAACCACACTGTATGAAGTCAGTTCTGTAAAGTTATATATATCATTTTGTATGATATATAATTCCAGAAGTGAGCTTATGAAAATTACTAAATAAAATTACAAAATATTATATATTCAAACTTCATACATAATTATACGAACTATAACGTCTTCGTTAACTTAGAAATTTTACATAGATGGTGTTGCTGTGGTAATAAACTTTGACGAATAATTAGGTCTTTGAAAATGACGGCTGACAGTTGTAAATATTTCGTTTTAATGAAGTTTTAAACAGACGGTTTAAACCTTCACAGAATTATCATCTCTTAAGTGTTTAAGTATACAAAAACTCTCTAGCAAATTACTCTCAATATTTGATAAAGTTTCACAATGGTCTATCTGTGTGTTGCTCACCGTGGGTATCGAAACCCAATTTTTAAGTTATAACTCCTCAGATTTATCTCAGAGCCACCGGGGGACTGATAATAGGAAATTATGCTTTCCGGAATGAATAATTTATTTACAAATATAGGCTTGAAAAATAAAGTTTGGAAATGGGTAGTGAAAGAAACGTTATTACAAAATGTGCAACGTTTCGACAAGCTTGTGTCGTTAATAGTCCATCAGCGAGAATGCGCATGGGAATATTTTGATTTGCAGCATCGTTTCTAGATGGACTGAAGACAAAAATGGCCGAAGTAATGGTCAGGCAGTTTAAGTGATCACGTGACCTTTATAACACGTCACTAGTCGAGACTTGAGTGCATCTTTCTCTCACTATAAGAACAAAACAACATTAAAGTAAAAACAGAAAAGTCAAATGTTTATAATAATCTTTATCATGAAACATCCAATCTTTATAAGTTTTAAAATATTTGTCTCCATTTTCAAGCAAATAGACATAGGTAATTTTTAGAAACTCTTAATTGAAGATATATGTATGTTGAGAAACACAATCTTTATTGTAATTATTCCAGGCTTACACTGTGATTTTGTGCAATAATAATTCACGGAAAATCATTTTAATTACCTAAGGCTATGAGACACATATACACAACTTCTCTCCAACAGAGGGCGACATCTGTACTGAGCACCTGTTGAAAGAGAAATGATATTAAATTTATGATTAAATACATAAACATTCTCAAGAGTGAATTTAAGCTTAAATGTCTAAACATTTTCTCTCTTGACTAAGTGATTTATCTGACTAATACAAAATAAATGGATATACTGAAGAAATCCATTGATGAATGCAAATTTTACAAATATTTTAAAGTAGAATAGCGTTAATAATAATAATAATAGACACATT